TTGCTTTACTTTGAAGGCTTTTATGGCCTAATGGTAGCTTTGAACGCTGTCATAGTAGTCAGCTGATTTTCAATGCGCGCAAATATACCCGCCATTCTTTGTTGTGCCAGCAAGTATAATTGTGAATTTTAGTTAAAATATATGTTATTAAACAATTATTTGTTACTAAGAACATTATTTTTTACAGATACCTTGCTTTTTTATCGTTCCGGTTTTGGTGAAGCTGCATTTGGCTGCGCCACTCACCACCCGTGTTTATTAGACGTAATATTCAATTGGAGGTAAAAGAGTTTATATTAAACAATTATTTGTTGCTAACAACATTATTTTTTTTCAGATACCTTGCTTTTTATCGTTCCGGCCACCAGATTCGTTGGTTTTCATAAAGTTTCATTTGGCAGTACAAAATGTTGACTCGAAATGCTGAACAAGTTTTGAGAATTTTCCTAATTTTAGCGAAAATGCGTAAATTAAAACTGCGATTAAAACAGAAGCGCCGATTTTGGGTTCGGAAATTGTACTTAGAGCGACACAAATATGGATTGTTTGAAAGTTCATTAAGAAACTTGGCTGCAGATGAGGAGCAGTTTAACAAGACATTAAGAATGCCCTTTTCGTTATTTAATGTGCTGCACGAATTTCTGGAGGCTTCGCTGACCAAATATTCAATCAGAACACCAATATCGAGCCGCTGCAGACTATTTATAACCCTGATGTAAGAGAAAATCGGTTTTACTTAATAGTATACGTATAATTTTCCATATATGTATCTGGTTTTATTTTTTTGTTGCAGATATTTGGCTCACGGTGGCACTCGGCAATTCCACACAATAGTTCACAGGATCGGCCTGACGACTTTCAGGAAGATTACGTTGGAGACATGTATGACCATATGGGATCTGTTAGCTGACCTGTATGTGGCGACCCCGTCAGAAACGGAATGGGGACGTATTTCCAATGAGTTCAAGTCGCTGTGGAATATGAGCAAACTAAAGTAAGCAAAGCAAGCGTGCATTGGGCCAATACCTTAAATCTTGCAAAACCTGCAAAACGTAGACGTTCTGGAGGCTTAAGTGCATAATATGGCCCGTTAAGCTAGAACAAAACGAACAAGTGGGCGTGATCCGCCCTTTTTCCTCATTTTAATGGTATACAATTTTTTTGGTGCAAACTTATATTTTCGGTGCTATGGAGGGGCGAAGGAGGAATTTTCGAAAATTTAAAATGGCTATATTTCGAAAAATTCCCAACTGAATTTAAAAAACTTGGTATTAGAAAGGTAAACAAAATCCCTTATTTCTAATATATACACTTTTATAATTTATATGCATAATTTTTAAGAAAACTTATTTAATAGAAAACTATTTAATTTTTCTAGGAAAAAAACAGTTTTACTAAAAAATATGTGTAAATAATGATACACCAAACTATAATAGGTAAATAGAGCATAAAAATACCTTTCATTTAGCATATAACTTTATATAGTTAGATTTAAATTATGTGAGTAATTTTGTTTTACTGGTGTTCATGCTTATGATCGTGAGCGGGACGACTGCGACAGAAAGAAGTTCTGCGCAAAAATACTTCCGCCGTTTTCTTTGGCAACACAAAAAGGAGAATTCTACTGCCTGAGGGTTATAACCTCTAACTGCGGCCGAAGGCCGCCTACGCAGAAAGGTGTTCTCTGCAAAAGGTGTTCAGCCCCCCTTCTTTGGCAACACAGAAAGGAGAATTCTACTGCTTGAGGGTTACAATCCCTAAGTGCGGCCGAAGGCNCTACTGCCTGAGGGTTATAATCCCTAAGTGCGGCCGAAGGCTGCCTACGCAGAAAGGTGTTCTCTGTAAAAGGTGTTCAGTTACTTTTCTTCGCAAAAGCTTCGCTTTTCAAAAAATATATACTTTTTTCTATTAAATAATTTTGAAAATGGATTTTGTTTACCTTTTCAACGATACCAAGTTTTTTAAATTCGGTCAGGAATTTTTTGAAATATAGCCATTTTAATTTTCGAAAATTCCCCATTTACCCCTCCATATCACCGAAATTATAAGTTTGCACGATAAAATTTGTATACCAGTAAAATCAGGAAAAAAGGGCGGACCACGCCCACTTTTTCGATTTGTTCTACCTTAACGGGCCGTATTATGCACTTGTTCCGTTCTGGAACGCACTAAGGGCCGGTTACTCAATGTCTGGTTAACACTAATCTGCGGTTAAACATCGTTATCGACGTTACCGACTCCCTGTTATATGCATGGAGTCGAAGACGTCGGTAACGATGTTTAACCGCAGATTAGTGTTAACCAGACATTGAGTAACCGGCTCTAAGGGTATTCATCAAACCTTATAAATGCATTGTAAACCGTATGAACTGTCAAAATTTGTATGGAAACTCGTTTACACATTTCTGATAAATTTATCCAGCGATTTCACTGAATAAACTTGATAAACTGAAGACAATGCAACTCTGTCGCAACTCTAGCTATGTTTTCTTAGGCAATAATCGGGATCCGCATACAAATTTTGCACGCAAATTCAACAACGATATGATCCTGATAGAGATCTGGTTCAATTATTATCCCGTCTGTTTGTTTTGTTTCTCTGATAATTCGCAAAGTTTGGTAGCCGTGACAAATGAATTCATACACAAACAGACATTCTGCCATTGTTTCTTTTAACTTGCTTCAAATAAATAGCCTTTATGTTATATGTACATTTATTTAAATAGATATGTCGTAAATATAATTTTTTCCAATTTAGTGAGGTAGTTTCTATAATTTCTTTGACCTCGTGCCAGTAGTATAAAGTTAGTGATACTGTGCTCTATAACCAAAGAAAACACGACTATTGTCGCATGTGAAAACGAAAACAGAGTGTGGGGCGTTCATGTAACAGAGTACGTAAACTTATAAGATTATCTGCTTGATAAAGTTATCGGTTTAGATGAATACCACTACTATA